GCTTGTCCAAAGCTTCCCTCCGGGATGGAGGCGCAGATGTGGCCCCTGCCTGAGGCTGGGCAAGGGGTCGGTCCCGGCACCGCCGAGGGCAGGGAGAGACAGGGACAGCACGTTTTCGCTGCTGGAACGTATTTACCTGGTAGGGTTTTCCTGCAGACCACAAACCCCTGTGGCTCGGCATCTGCTCGGAGTGGCTGCTGCCTGGTGACATTTGTGCAGCGCTGGACTAATGCAAGAATGAGAGAGGCACTGGGGGTGTCCAGTCGGCTCTTCAGGGAGCAGGGCATCCCAGTGTCCTCTCTGTGTCGGCCACCAACTATCTTTGTGGCCTCCTGGCCAATGGTGCTCCTTGGAGTAGTCTGGGGAGCTGGATGGAGCCCCCACATTGAAGGCTGGAGTAGTGGGAAATGTCAAGATTCCGTTAGCAGCAGGAGCTGGGTGTGACACAAGCCGCAAGTTTGGAGCAGCTGCTCAGGAGGCTGTTAGGGCTGTTTTACCTGAATTTCCACCTTTGCACCCACAGCTATGAGTACTCAACAAGGGTGCCCAAAACACTCCATGGTGTCAGGGCAGTGCCAGCCCTGCACATGTAACCCTCAGGGACTGGAGTCCAGTGAGTTTTTGACGGCATGGGTTTTGTTCTTTGAGTATGTGTCTTCAGGATCTTCCAGGTGCCAACAGGACAAGCTGTCTTTCCTTTGTCCCCACCTTGCAGTGACCTCCAGTGCCCAGGGAGGTACCTGTACCCTGCTCACTCCAGGCAGCTGGTAGATGCAGAGACCTGTGCATGCTCAGGGCTGGGGGCCACGTTAGCACTTCCTGGTCCAGCTGACCCCATCTCTGACGTCAGCCCAACATCTGGGCTGAGATGCTGCTCCGAGCACAGGCAGCTGGGCTGGCAGGAGTCACTCGGCCTCCCCACCCCCACCACCCCCGGAGAGCAACCTTCCCAAAAATGGGATTTTGTGCCGCATGCCATTGAGGCACACTAACACCACACTGACACCAGGTCTGCCTGGGTCCTTGGGACCCTATATGTGCCCAGAGCTAAGGAGGGCATCTGCAGAGTCTGAGAGGACACCCTCCTCAGAGCAGAGGCTGCAGAAATCTTCCAAGCAGCCTGTGGCAGAGCTGACCAGACAATTTTAGAGCCAACAAATAACCTCAGTTAAGCTTTCTGGCAGTGACCGATTCCAGTTGTGCAGCAATATTGGCGCCCTTAATTTTTAAGTGGCTGGAAATGGCAAGACCAGGAGCTGGGGTGAAGGGACACCAGGCTGCTCCATGTCCCTGGGGCTGCTCTGCTCCCCCTCATCTTAGGGGGAGCGGAGCCCAAATACTAGCTTAGCTGCCCACCCGAAACTCAGCCCTCTTCCTCACTTTGAGTAATTTTGGCCAAGGGCTCTTGCTCAAGCTCCTTCCTCTCTCAGCCACCATGTCCTCAGCCCTCACCACAGGGCAGGAGTGGGAGCAGTGAGCATCCCCTACCAGGTAGCCACAGGGTACCACAGGGACCAGGTGTGGAGCTGGATGGGACAAGGACTGAGGCCAAAGTGCAGATGCGCACCCATGCCTGGGCAAGGTATTGCCCTGCAGAGCACACAGAGAGCCACGAATGGGGACTAAACCCATCTGACCTCCCTCAGGCAGCCCAGTGCTGCACCCACACCTTGCATGACCTGGATTCATACCATTGTGGGCAGGGCAGGCAGGGGGAACCTGGCTCTGGGGAGGGTTGGCATAGCAGCCATGGCCAGGGGCCAGCCCTGGGCACTGGCAGGGAGCCCAGCGAGCAGCTCTCACCTGCTGAAGCTCTGGGACATTCTCAGGTTTCCCCACTGCAGCCTCAGCCTGAGTGTGGCCCAGTTCCATCAGTCCATTAGTATGCGAAACGGGAAGGGCATCAGGATGGGTGAAAACACCCTGAATTCTCAAAAAGAAGGTTTTTCACTCGAAAAAAGCAAAATAAAAGCCAATGACTAATTTCTGTTCCTGGTCCCTCCTGAACACCCTCCAGCTCTGATGTAGCAGCCCTGGGAAGGTGCTATTACACTGTTAGAAGAAAGGAGAAATTGAGGCACAGGTGACTTCTGCATTTCTCCAGCCAAGAAGGGGTTTGCTGCCAGAGAGGACAGACAGCCCAGCAGGCAGGCAGGCAGGGTGGCAGTGCTGCTGGCTGTGCCCTGTCAGGTTGTGGTTAAAAACCGAGGCTGGCCCAGTCTCACCGGCTGCAGGAATTTTGCTCTGCTGCCAACTTCAGACAAATCCCTTTTATTTGCTTGTTCAGGTTTCGATGTTGTAATTACACTGTCTGAGCCAGCTCCCAAGAGAAAGAGGAAGGAAAGGAAAGGAAAGGAAAGGAAAGGAAAGGAAAGGAAAGGAAAGGAAAGGAAAGGAAAGGAAAGGAAAGGAAAAAAAACAGGGGAAGGAGAGCAATGGCGCCTGAGCTTCCAGCCTCATCGCATCCTGCCTGAAAGGAAAGGAAAGGAAAGGAAAGGAAAGGAAAGGAAAGGAAAGGAAAGGAAAGGAAAGGAAAGGAAAGGAAAGGAAAGGAAAGGAAAGGAAAGGAAAGGAAAGGAAAGGAAAGGAAAGGAAAAAAAACAGGGGAAGGAGAGCAATGGCGCCTGAGCTTCCAGCCTCATCGCATCCTGCCTGCTCCTGCCTGGGGACTGGCCAACTCCTTCCTCCTGGGCTCTGGCTCCTCGCCGCAGATCCAGACCTCCCTGGAGATAGGACCAAGTAACTAGGACTGGTTTGGTCCATGGGGAGGTTTAGAGTCCCAGAAGTCCTGCAAATTCTGCAGGTTTTGGCAGGGCAAAGCACCCCTCAAGTGTGAGCTCAGCCCCCAGATCCCCATGGGAAGGGGTCCTGCCAGCCCTCTCTGGGCATGATGCAGCACAGTGCAGCTTTGGGCTTCCTTCTTGCACTCCCTCAGAATGACAGTTTGCTTTAAATCACCAGCTCTGAGAGGCAGGTAGGTTTTTCTTAAAAAAAATGGAGCATTTCCAGTGGAAATGGGAGCCTCCCCATCCTTCTCCAGCCAGGCACATGCTGGCAGGACTGTTGTGACCTGGGTGGACACTCCAGCGTGATAGGGCACAGGACACTGAGATGAAGACAGGAAGAGGTGGGGTGGGATCCAAACAGATGGGGATTCAATGAGCCAGCTTGATGTATCTCCATTGCACAGGGGACAGTCTGCTGGAGACCCCCAACCCTACATGGGGTGAGAAGGGCAGGACCCACGCTAGGACCAGCTGTGAACACCTGGGCAGGAGGGCTCCTCTACCTAAGCACCCCCACAACGGACATGATAACATCCACAGTGTTTGCACCTCACCTCATCCCCAGAATATTCCTTGTGGATGCAAAACAGTCAATTGTTTTGTGTTGGCTCTGACCTACGTGTATATTTTAACTAACATTAACTGAAATGGCAAAGTAAAGAGCTGCATGGAAGGCAAAGCACAAAGTGAGCCAAAAAAGGCCAGCGTGTTTCTGACCACATGGGTGGTTGGGCTGGAGAAAAGACAGCACTGAAAACCACAAGTATCTGGTTTCCTCAAATCACTACTTTTCCAGTTAAAAACAAAACAGAGAGAAGGATGTTTTGGCAGCAGGTTCTCCGGTTCCTGGGGAGAAGCCGGTCTGTCCTTCTGCTTGGGGGACACAGATCAGCCCCGGGAGTGACTAACTGGGTGTCACAGCCAGGTCCAGCCCTCTGCTCCAGCTTTCTGAAAATGTTTCTCATGAGGCAGAGATGCCACTGCCCTGGCTTTCACCTCCCAAGGTGGGGCTGCCTTCACCCCCAGCACCAAGTCCTCATCACACACAGCATGACTGTCCCAGCAGTGTCCTACTTGCCATGACACCCCTGCTTGGCCAGAGGACAGACCTGTCCCACTCCAGGCAGAGCTATCCCCCTGGGTCCAGCCCTATGCCACTAACCAGCCAGTGTCCCCTCCCCAAGCACTCCTGCAAAGGTATGTGTCATCCTGTCCCCCACTCCAAAAAAGAGGCTGCTGTGCCAGGACTGTTCAGAGAATGAATTTTGGGCTGGGGGGTGCTTGTTTCAGAGATGTCCCCAACACTAGGCAATGGCCACCGTGGGCAAGGTGATCTCTGCAGCCAGGCATCCCATCTCTGGGCTAGTAATAGTCCTCCTCACTCTCTCCGTAGTCCTCAGGCGTTGTGCGGGGCTTCGGCAGGGAAAGACCCGTCAGGTTGAGCTGGTCTGAAACGGCAGTGCGGGGACAATGTGACACAGTCCCACCCAGTGTGCCTATGCCCTCCCCACCAGGACCAAAGCCAAACCATGCATAACAGCTTGCTTGAGCGTCCCCAGCACAGCCCTGTGCTCCAGCAGACCAGTGCACCCTGCCCAAAATTCACTTCCCTCATCCCTGTGACAGCATGGGGACAAGGACATGGTGCTCACCTGGAGTGAAGACGGTCAGGCTGGCAAATGCCACCACCTCCCCAACACTGTTCTTGGCGAAGCAGCGGTAGGTACCTTCATCCGTCACTCGCACACCCTGGATCTGCAGCCAGCCCGTCACTTCGTATTTCTGGGGGCCACCTCTGAACTGCAAGAGTTGGGGATTTTGGTTAGCACTGGGGCCAGGAAAGCCCTGTGTGGGGCTGGGATGGATGGGAAGGGGGACACAAGCCCAGGTAAACTCTTTGCCCCCCCACTAAGTACCACTCTGGGGTTAGGCACAGACCCTTTGGATATGGGTTGCCCCTAGGGGAGGTAAAGGGAATGGGCGTCTTCTTGCCTGGGAGCACTGCCTTGGGCAGGATCTCACAGATGTGACCCAACTCCCAGCTGTGCCCCCACGGTTCCCAGACAGTGGGAGGATGTTGGCATTGGTGCCATGCACAGTGGCAGAAGCGAGGAGGCATCTGTGCCCTGGGCACAGCCAGCCCGAGACAGCTCAGAGGAGACCCAAGTCCCCTATTTTGGCAGGCAGTGAGGTCTCAGGATTGCTCTGGCGCCAGCTGTGCTATTTTTTGTTTGTCCCCAGCAAGAAATAACCTTTTCCTGACCCAGCTGGGCTGCAGCTGTGTTTGCAGGCTGCTATTATGGTGTGGTGGCCACGGGCGGAGGACAGCTGAGCCAACTCCAGCCAGGCAGGATAGTCCTCATTGGGGTGAATGACTTTGGCTGGACCCTGTGACAGGCTACAGGGTGGCATGAAGTGCCGAGAGGGGGAAGTGGATCCACAGCAGTGCTGGGTTCCACCTGCTTTCTCAACCATCCCACCTCAGTTTCCTACTTGCCAGTCTCCAACTGTGTTTCACAGCCTCTATGCCTCTGCCCACACGCTCTAATAGCTGGGTACGCCTGGCTGGGCACTATATTTGGGGCTGGCCAAATGGGGCCCCAAATGGGGGGCAGGATGCTGACCTCTGGGCCTGCAAGTTCTGGGAGAGGAATCCTGCTCAAAACAGCAGGCAGAACAGAGTAGCAACTGCCTGAGTCTGCTGGTGGGACCAGCGTGGAAGGTACTTCGGGAGGTCTTGGTCTTCCCCCCCAGCCCTGCCGGTGGGGCTGCGAGTGAAAGCAGCAGGCAGACACGGGAAACTCTTTGCTGCAGGACTCCTCAGGTTCTGATAAACACTAAGTTCAAAAACCATCAGAGAAAAGTGCAGAACAGAGCTTTGCTGACAGCTCCTACCACCAAGACAGTAGCCCTGACTCAGCCAGTCCTCACGGTGTGCACGCTCCGTTCACCCTTTCTCATCCTGAAACAGCCAGGCTTGGCCACCCCCAGGGGACAGCCACCCTCAGGTCTTGTTGCCCATGAACTCTGAGCAGGGCTGGGTCACCCTGGGGCCATGTCCAATGCCTTAGGCACACCACTCACCTGGACAGAGATGTGGGGGTCGTCTCCAGGCAGCAGCATCTCTGTGCCATCCTTCCTCCACTCGATGGACGCCATGGGGTAGGCGAAGACCTCGCAACCAAAGATGACATCCTGCCCAGTGATGTTCCATGTGTCATAGGGAGGAGATGTGATCTGGGGCTCTGCGGTGGGGGGAGGGACAGGAGAGCAGGGTGAGCTCAGAAGAGGTCCCACTCTCATCAGGTCCCATGGGCTCCCCTAGGCTAGTCCCTTCCAGGGTGGCAGCATTTGGTTCATGTGGAGATTCTGGGACTCTTCCCATGCCCCTCTCCTCTCCCACCCATAGTAGACTCTCACCTTGCCCCTCCTCACAGCTGGGACTTGGGGGTCCCTCCCTAGCCCCCCTGGCCCATGGAGGATTACCATCCCTCCTAGTCTCACTTTCCTGCCTGCAGAGTGATGCTGAGGGACATGGGGGCAAGAGAAACAGTTCAGTAACAGCAATGTTACAAAGCAAAGCTCTCCTGTGCAATTGGTTCATGCCCCTCCTGTGGGGAAAAGGCCAGGGAGCGCTCGTCCAGCCCAAGTCTGGTTGGGATGGATGAGGTGGATGAGCTTCCAGCCAAACAAGGCTTTTGCTCCGGCACGAGACTCGTGCCAGTGATTACAGGAGCCAGCAGGTCCCCAGCTGCCGTATGGAGCCAATACTTCCAGTTCTCACTTCCCTTCCCTGGAGGGACGGAGTGAGGACTACCCTTCCTACCCACACCTGCTCCAGGATCCAGACCACAGTATGAGCCAGAGGTCAAGGGAAGCCCTCCATCTCCAAATATATCTGGGGGAAAAGCTCATGAACTACAGAAAATAAAGTCAACCTTGATGCCACTCAGGCTGTGGTCACAGCACTGGGTGACCCATGCTGGACTTGGTAGACTGGGGCAGAGACTTGCTGCCACTCCATGCCCCTCAGCCATGCTTTAAAGAGGAGTTGGCAATCACATAGCCATGTCAAATCGACCCAGGTTTCTATTTGCAGGACGCAGTCACATTTCTCTAGAGTGCCGGACCAGCGTGAGCCGAGTACTGCCTCCAAGAATTTGCTAACAATTCCCTGGAACTTTCCCATCTGCTCCGGCAGGATTTACTGCTTCCCATAAACCCCGCTCCCACTTGGCAAAACTGCTCCCAGACATCTCCAGGCAGGGGCTGCCCCGGAGCAGCAGGGTGGGGGGACCTGTGACTCTACTGAGCAGTCCCCCATCACTGCCATGTCCCTGCAGACACTGTAGGTTTGCCATCAGGTGAAATAATTAAGCCAGACCCCTTTGCTTGTCCCTTCCCAAGAGGAACATTCATCCCACTGCCTGCACAGCTGCTTCTGGGGCTCTACCTGACTCGCAGGGACCCTCATGGGCCACAGTGAGGTTGGCATCAGGGTGAGCACGGGCAACTTCCAGGAACCTGCAGATCTGGGCATAGGTTTTGCCATCAGAGCCACAGAGGGCAAGGTGGGAGAGACAAGCGCACTGGGGTTCGGGCACCTCCCCATGCTGCAGGTCCCCAGCGTCCAGCCGGCATTCCAGGTGCTCCCCGCACTTCCCGTAGAAGTGGTTGGTGTTGTCCAGGTCGCAGATCTGTCCCTCCAGGTTGGCACACTCCCAGCAGCAGTCGCAGACATCTCTTACCATGCCAGCCAGGCAGCCCCGAGGTGTCGGGCACTCCTCCGGTCGGCACTCGGCACAGCCCTCCCCTTCCTCCAGCAGCCTCTGCCAGCCCCGCTGGAGGTAGTTGGAGGTGCTGGGAAAAGCCTGGCCCAGCTGGAGCAAAGCCCAGTGCAAGAAAAGCAAGGAAAGCATGAAGCAAGAGGAGCTCAGGGTCTTGGCTTCAGACATCCTCGCAGTAGGATTCTGGTTCCACCATCACTTGGACAAGGATCTTCAGCACTGCTTTGGCCTCCCAGGCTAGATCCAAGGAGCCATCCTGGCCTGCAAGGAGGGACAACATATGTTACCTGTGCAGGGAGCACCACCTACCCCTCCAGCTCATGGCTGGCTTCCCCTGAGGAGCAGCACTGCATGATGTGCAGAGGAGAATTGGACCTAGCCCCTCTCACCCCATCCCTGCAACCCTCTGGGCATCCCCTAGTGGGATGGGGCTGCTGATCTGAGACCCACCGAGTTCCTTCTTCCCTGGCAGCCTGGAGAGAAGATCCCAGCTTTCTCTGATACTACTACGGCCTGGGGAGTCACAGAGATGGTGAGGGGCCGGATAGGTGACTCTACACTGTCGTGGCTCAGCCGGTTTGCATCCTGCTCCTCATCTTCTCTTAGAAAGCTGATCTCAAGCCAGGCACCCTTGTCATTTCCCCATCACTTTGCAAGAGTCACGAGTGCTTTTTTCCTCCCTCACCATCCAGACAAGCGCAGTGGAGCGGCTGATCCTGCAGACAAGGGGTTCTTTCCGTGCTAGAGGCAGCCAGCCGAGAGGAGCTGAGCCAGGAGGATGCTCCCCGTCACGCCTGGCTTTTGTCCTCCTTGCCTCCCTGCACCATAAATCCGCTTTTTAGGTACCACCTGCCTAAGCAAGGAAGAAACAACCCCCCAAGAAAGCTTTGTGACTCCCTCAGTTATCACACAGGCAACTGTGGCTGAGCGTGGGGGAACTCAACACAGGAGTGGGCAGTCAGTGGACTGGCAGCAGGCCCAGCATGGTCATCCTGTTACCAGCACAGTGGGGTCCCTGTCCCCAGATGCCAAGCCTGCACTACTCCCCTACCTTGAGTAAGCAGAGAGGTTGATCTACCCTGGGCTTCCCATCTCTGCTGGGTGTGCACTTGGGGTCTCAAGGCCTGGCCCCAGAGGATGTGACAATGACCTGAACCCCTTTGTGAACACCCCTGGTTGCACCCTGGCTGCCTTGCCTGAGATGGAGTGAAATTACAATCCCTTGCCCCAGGGCCACCCAGTATAAGTGAGTGGGACTGGGGAGGGGACCCAGGTAGCCAGGCTGCCCGATCCCCTCCTGCTGGGAACAGCACTGAAGGCAGGCTGCAGAATCCCCAGCTGCACCTCACACTTCCCCCACCCTCCGGAGCTAATGCAGCTCAGAGCTGGGG